CTTCTGGATTTCAGATCCACACCACCTCATTGTCTTTAACACTACAAAAAAGGGGGCCATTAAAAAAAATCCTTGTTAATTCCAAAGCAGGACAACTGAATAGGGTTTTTTAAAGGTTAAGTAAATGCACTTGCTATCACAATGCTATTTGTCTGTAAAAAATTCTTTAGTTAGTGCATTATCTCCAGAAGTCACACCAGTCCTGGTCTGAGTTAAAATTTTAGGAGACTGAGAGCTTAGGTAAATACGTTTGGGTGTTGAGAATGGCACCCAGGGCCTTGGCTTAGGCTAAGTGTATTTTCTACCTCTAATCTGTGTCTCCTTAAAAATATTTTTAATATAATCTTCTTTCACAGGGTTTGGTTTTAAAGGCTAGGTTTGAGACTTCAAAATTACCTTTCAACAGACAACCCTTTGGCTAGGTGGACCTGTGCATTTTACTTTCCTTCCCCTCACCCTTGGCTTTTCCAGCAGTATTGTTCATTCTTGGTCCATTTGGCTATTCCTTGTGTGTTGACCGTGTGCTGTGTACTGGCCCTATGGGAGGTTCTGCACATAAAATAGTGCTCAAGATCCAGGTCCTTGTCCTCAGAAAGTTTGTAGTCCATACCAGGTTTCAGCATTTAGGGGGCAGACCAAAGACAGATATCTTATGATTTTTAGGGTAGTGGTTTCTGATGCAACTAACTAGCTTGTCATTGAATCATGAATGCCATCATACAGGACATAGAAGCCCATAAGCAGTTCTGTGTGCAAATAAAACTTTATTCACAAAAAAATAGAGTGGGAATTGGATTGCCCTGCAGGTCTTAGATTGTAGACTCCGGATCAAATGGCTTCTTAGAAAGCAAAGGGATTTCCATTTCCCAAAAATGGATTCCACCACTGGGAAAGTAATGGAATGCGCCTGCTCTAGAAAACATTGAGTGTTACTGATAAGCAGAATAATATTTGTGATTTCATCATTTTAAAAAATAACACTGGATATTAAAAAATAATAGGATGCCCATGGATATACCATGTGTCCTCTGTCACATTTTCAACAAGTCCTCTGATATCCTGTGACAGCTTTAGTTCATGTAAAGTCAGTAACTACACACTCCTTTCTGCTGCTTTAAGTCAGTTCTGTACAGGGGTCTCCTGAGGTGGCGTCTGACCTGCTTGGCTCTTGGAAGCCCTTGCTCTTCTGCACTGTGCATGGCCCCAATGTCAACCCACAGCAACTCCAGTCCCACTCCAGCTTCTGATCCCACTTTGGGGAGGTGCAAGGGACACAACTGTTGTAATGGAAAGTGGCTCTGTCCATACGTGCTCTGCATTTCTCCAGGATCTGTGTTCATCCTTCCAAACAGCACAGAGTTGTCTTCCATTCCAGTCCTGTTTCAGAATACCTGTGACTGTTATTATCTCTATAGGGTTTCTGGCCTTCTAGCCTTGTTTTCTTAGATGGCACCAAACCTTCATGATCTGGATGGGCATGAGTAGAAATTAAAAATAAGGGCTTGAGAGGAATGTTTCTGTTTGTGTTTCTAGGTGATCCCTGACTTAATGATATTCAATTAGGATTGTCCATGCTTTAGATGGTACCCTTCTGAAAAACCATTTCCTTTTTTTCTCTTTCAGGATAGGGCTCAATAAGCTGCATGAGCTATTGAGCACTGTATAGAATATATATTCTATATAAGTATAGAATAAGTTCTGTATTAGACAGTTTTCCTCAACTGTAGGCTAATGAAGTGTCCTGAGCATGTGTGTGCTAGATGCTGGGCTAAGCTATGATGTAAGTTAGGCTGAGAATCCAGTGTCTCGCCACTGCCTTCCTTACCAGCTCAGAGAGCATCCCGTAGCATAGGCAGACTTCAGACTCCTGATCCTCTAGACTCCACCTCCTGTGTTCTGGATTGCAAGCACGCTCTACCACCTTTCTGTTCACGTAGTGATCACTCAGAATTTTGGTTGAACTTGTATCGCACAAAAAGTTTTGTTAACTTGATGCATATATACATTTTTTGCAGACGTTTTTATTTTTCTTTTCATTAGGTTTTTTTTTCACTCTTTACATGGAAACCTCACATCTTTAGGTTGACAGTGTTTTGATCTTTTCTTTGTAGCTTGTAAATTTTTCTTTACGGGCCTGGAGGAGCTGATTCAGTGGGTGAGATTGCTCTTGCAGCCATGAGGCAGAGCACATCTTCCTGTAATGTAGTTCCAGGGAATCCAGCACCTTCTGGCATCTGCGGACATGTACACACATGTAGTATATATAAACCCATGTGTGCGTACACGCACACACGTGTGCGCGCACACACATACAATAAGTAAATAAATCGTAAGTATTTTTTGGTTTAGAAAATTCTCCCAAACCTATTTGTTAAAGAAAATATTAAATATTCTCTTTTTACTCAAAAGCATTTAGAGTTGTTTTTTTAAGCTTTTAATTAATTTTAGCATATGATACAAAATATTGACTGACTGACTCTCTCTTCTAAAATAATATCTGATACCAGAAGCTTAGCTATATTAAGTGTTTATAATTTCCTACTGGGTCAGAGGTGAGCTTGGGTGCTGGGGCAATTAAAAAGAATAGGGAGAACATGCCTCTGCCCCTTTAACTAGCTATGGTAGAGTAACAACAGAGCCAAGAAATGTCCTGGCCAGTGCAGATGGTGGCAGAAAAGGACAGGACTGCCATCCTGTTACAGATGTCCCTCACCATGCCCCCTGGGTCACCATCCCTTCCAACCTGGCTCATGACTCTCTCTCAACTTTGGTCAAACAAGGCCTCTACCCTTTCTACTTTGACATTTGGCCATTAGACTGACCAGCAGTGTAAACTCACATACTTGCCTGATACATGGCAGAGCAGATCATTCTGTTTGATTCTCCACAGAAGCATAAAGGCATGGTAAAATTATTCTTATGTTACCCCATGTGGCCCTTTTCTAAGGCCTGGGATCCAAGCCCCTCTCTTATTCAGTAAAGGCAAGTGATGGGGGGGGGGGGGGGGGAAGGGGGGGAAGGAGGGAAGGAGGGAAGGAGAGAGGGAGAGAGAGAAAAAAAAGAGAGAGAGGGGGGAAGATGGAGACACTCGGGCCCTTTTGAGACCGTGGAACAAGTTTCTGGAGATACCAGGGCATGCCTTTGAAAGGTCTTTTTCTCACAGTGCCTGTGTCTATGGAGGTTTGTAGGACGTCTGTGGCCAGACATTGGCAGATAGGTCTGATTCTTCAAGTTACACAGAAGGAAGCAGTCTTGCTCCCAGGTCTTGGCTTGATGCTGATAAACACAGTCCCCCGCCAGCACCAGTGGAGATCCCACTTAAACTCTGTTAGGCAAGATGCTGCTCAGGCTTCCTAAAGAAACTCCCTTGTTAGCAATGACATACAGGGACTTAGAGGATGTTGTTAAGTAAAGCCAGGTACAGGAAAACAAATACCACATGATCTCACTTATAGAGAGACTGAAAGAAGGGGGGGGAGGAAGGGAAGAAGGAGAGAGAGGGGGATGGGAGGGAGGGGAGGAGGAAGGAAGGAGCCAATTTTGTAGAAATTACCAGAGTCTGGAGAACATGGTTTGAGAGATAGTGGGAAAAGTTACAAAAATTCATTCATATATATATATATATATATATATATATATATATATATATATACACACACACACACACACACATACACATACATACAATATATAAATGAGTGAATGTGACAAAAAGACCAACCCTTGGGCCATCATTGATGTAAGGAGAGTCCCCTGTATGGCAACAGACGAGGGCCAAGTGACAAAGGTGGAAATGTCTTTTCATATTATTTTGTAACTGCCATATGACATATGAAGAATAGTTCACACAAAGGGGCTCAGTGGCATTTTCCTTGAGCAGCATGCGTTAGGCATTTCTACAGTTGCAAGTAGAACATGAGAAAGTCGTAGTGTACCCTGTATGTCTTTGCCCATTTTTTGAAAGAACCTTAAAAGAGAGGCCGTTGGGACCTGCATTAAGATGCCTCCTATAGAGGCTAGAGAGATGGCTTGGTGTCTAAGAGCATGCACCACTGTAGCAGAGGACCCAGATTCAGTTCATCTTACCACATCAGGCCTGTGACTCCACAACTGCCTGTGACTCCAGCTCCTCTTCTGGCCTCCGTGGACACCCATCCTCATATGCACATACACCTATGCAGACGCATCAGCACGCACAGGTTAAATACTGGAACACAAAACAAACAAAACCCTGGAGAGTTAGAGAGATACCCCCAGTTGTTAAGAGCACTTAATTGCCTTTTCAGAAATAGGTTTTGTTCCCAGCACCAATATGGCGGCTCACAACTCTCTGTAACTCCAGTTTTGGGAAATTCGCTGCCTCTTCAGACCCATAGCTACCATGCGTATGATGCACAGATGTACATGCAGTCAAAACACTCATGCACATAAAATAGAAAGTGTTTTTCAAAAGAGTAAAACCTTAAAAACCAAAAAACAGATTTCTTACGTATAGGTTTATACCTAACCAATAAGAAGCAGAGAGCAGTCACCCGGCACACACACATACTTCAGAAATCACAGAACATAAGATGAATTCAAGGCTGGCAGTCATTAGAACCATCTGCAGTCCGTGTATATGAGTAATCCGGCTCCTTTAAAACACGAGAGGCTATTTGCCATGTCACTCGCCAAGAATGGAAGCTACGATTTTCTTGGAGTGTGGTTTTGACTCTGTGTCACTCAGTTCTTTAGTGAAAAGTTTCTTACATGTTTAGATTTTATACCGATTTGGGTACTATTAAGAACCTTTCTGGAACAACCTGCCCATGTGAGAAATCATTTTTCCCTGCCCACCCAGGAAAGGCTTCAGCAATGGTGTGGTGTTGGGAAGAAGCACAGGCAGAGAGAAGCAAGCAGCACCACAGTACTCAACCCAACTCCCATCAGTGATGTAGCAAGCGTTTACCGTCATCAGGCCCATCGTCCGAAAGCTGATGTTCTGTTCTTCTTCCTCCTAGGAAAAGCTCTGTCTGCCTCATCACATCCTTGAAGAGAAGGGCCTAGTCAAAGTGGGCATGACTGTTCAAGCGTTGTTGGACATCACCGTCACAAAAGCTCTGTTCACATGAGACCAAGCCCTTTCTTCTGGGTGGGCTCAGACTCTTCCCAGAGCAGGGACTCTGGACTCTGCTCCTGGCACCTGTACCTGCTCCCCAACTCACCTCCCTGCCAGGTCCCCGAGGAGCTGCATTGACATGGTTTCAGCCTATGGGAGAAGTCAGGACCTTTTAGAGTTGGCCTGCAGGTTTCAGGTTGGACAGGTGTTCCCTGAGAGCGGGTAACGGAGCTGGTGGAGAACTGAGTAGCACATCATTGCCTTTCAATCCCCTTCATCCCTTCCACAGTCACCAACTGCCATTACCAAATGCCAAGCACAACCGTTTCACAGTGAGTCGCGTCTGTTTTCTCAAAACCAAACTCCTTGCAGAACCAGTAGTGGGAGGGGGATGCAATCAGGTTTATTTTTGCCACCAAAATTTTTCAAGATGTTTCTTGAGACCATTGCCTTTCTGAAAAACTATTTTCAACATACAAAAAAAAATATTTATATAAATATTATTTATTAGCGAGTCGTTATTCATCCTTTGGATGCAAATTGTAAATTAGGAAACTATTTTATTACTGCTTTTTTGTGGTTAAACAATTTATTTTAATATTATAAATACTGAGTTATTTTTGAGCCTCTTTGGCACGTAGGAGTTCCGGGTCTCAATTCTGTGGTGTATACGATTCAGGAAAGAAAAATTAAGCAAGAAACATGTGCTTCTGTGACAGACAGAGAGCTGTTTTCTGAGAGGTGTTATCCACCTTTTGGTTTGTGGAACATTGTTCTTATTTATATTTCTGCATTCCATCCAGTTTCCTACATTCCAGCAGCCCTCTTGTCCCCTGATATAATAAACTGACTGAAATCAAGAGAGCACCCCAAAGTTATTTGTAAATAGTTATGTGGAAAAAAAGACATATTAAACTTGAAGATAAAATGTGAAGTGTTTTTTTTTTTGGATTCATGTTTCTTTTGCTATGCACAAAACATTCGCATTTTAGCACAGAGAAATGAGAAGTGTTCAGCATTTGTCTTGAAGTATAATTTTTGCACTGTACTTTGTGTAGTTGAGGAGCATCTAGCACCAAAGGTAGATGTTGAAGAAATGGATGAGAAAACGGAGCTGGTTGAAGTTGACCCTCAAGCTACAAGGGTCATAAGAGCTCAAGTCAGGAAACCAGCATGACGTACAACCACCAGTGTTCGAATAGCGAGAGATGCCAAAAATGTAGACATGCTTATTTTTATTGCAATCGAGCTGGTGCTTTTCCAAGAGTCCAGACTTGGAAGGTTCATGGTATCTGGTAGGAAACTTAGGAAGTGGGCAGCTACATGCACAGCAAAGCAGACTGGGAAAGGGTTAAGTAAGTGGAGTGTGTAAGCAGCCAGTGGGGAGCAGGGGCAAGCACAGTAAGACTCCTGAGGAGCCATCCCAAGAGAGGAGCACACCCTATCCTGTCAGTGGACAAGCTTCCTTCAAGGAAGGCTTCATAGGTCTATGCAGGGGCAGTCAACACCCATACACACTCACCCTGTAGGTGTGGACAGATACCCTAGTCGTTCATCTCTCAAAAGCTTGTGAACACTGACTACACTTTGACCCCTGTACAAAGCCATTAGCAGTTTCTAGAGCATCAGTAGCTATGATGGGGGACCAACAAGGTGGATACAAAAGACTGCAGGAGGGATGAGTGTGGTCAACACAGACCGATGCTGCCTCGGGGCATGGTGGATGCGTTCTGAGTATGGGAATTCAGATTGGCAGCTAGTGATACTTCCTATCGTATGTACTGTGCACTTTAACATAAATATATTTGAATATTTTTCTGTACTGCACAAATGCCTGTTTTGTCAAATGGCGTAGCAATGTAAAGATGAGAGGATTTTTAAGAGTATATTCAACTGAAGCAGAGGTCAGAGGTTATCTACACAAGGATTTAGAATGATGTTCTAGAATGTTGTACCTTCAGGGCATTGCACCCCAGAGTCCTGAAATATATTTTTACATGTATCTTTGACAACATGAAGCTCAGTAACCATTATTTTTGGATATTTTTTTCAAAATTAAAATATTTCTTTTGATATTAATTTTCAGTATTTTCATGAAATTGGCTGTATCATACAAATGGCTTCAATATTTTGTAAAATGTTTTTTTATGCAGATCTTATATGGATAAGATGTCTTCAAGATCCTTGTACACTATGTTTATATGTGCAATGAAATGTGCATGGCTGGCTCATAGTCTGATAAGTAGACAATGTATATAGTGCAAACCCTTTTATTATTTAACAGCCATTAAAATTTTAAACTTGTACCAACCAACTTTGGATTGACTTATCAGTCTGATGCTAATGTTGACTCATCTCACAAACACACACATACACACACACACAAATACAGGGTGCTGAAATAGATCATAGCAATCATATATTGTGAATATACATCCATACAACTATGTATATAATGCTTATATATATACAAGCTCTATTGTAACTTCTACTTCAGTAGTTACTGTTAGAATCTTACTAAATTAATGTAAAATTAAAATTCATCATATATATGAACAATAAGGTTCAGTACTAACTATAGTTCTAAGAGGTCTTTGATAAAGACCTAGGTTTAGGATAAAATGGCATGGGGTGGGAAGATACATATGTAATACCCTCCCTTTAGAATAATACATTTTCTCCTTAAACTTGTTCCACGAAAAGCAAAAGAAAATTTGCTAAGATAAGGTTGGGGGTGAGTCTTCCTTCAGGTCATGGGCCCAGAGGCATCTTGAAGATGTCTTAGTTTCTAGGCTTAAATTGTAAAAATCACAGGACTGGCTCCTCTGACCTTGGCTTCCTCAGCAGCTGAAGTCTGGATGACAGCTCTGCTGGGCCAGTGTTCTCCCTACACATCCACCCTTCCTTTAGTGAGAGCAGCTACTATGCGGGTACAGGTGAAGGCTGTATCAGAATGCTTACCTAGCACACAGGAAGCCCTGGCTTCACTCTCATGTACTACATCCAAAACTGGATGTGATGGTGCACACATGCAATCCCAGAACTCCAGACATGGGAGTAGGAGGATCTAAAGTTCTCACATAGTGGTTTTTGAGATCTCATCTCAGAAGCAAAAGTATATGCAAGTGGAAAAATATATGCAAATGGAGGCAGAAACTCCAAGTGTAACATGCAGACCCAGGTCCTCTGTCCTGAGCAAGGAACGCAGGACGGCTGCTCAAGATCTGCATCTACCTGGACTAGAACAACCATGGCAGTGGTGTGATTTGCTGCATCTTCGCTCCTACCCCATCCGATCAGAGTAGTCCTGTGCATTATAGAAGGCCAATGCCTCGAGCAAATGGGAAGTCTCTAGCTTAATTGGTGAGCCTTAGGCTTATGAGAAACCCTGTCTCAGAAAACAAAGTAGACAGCTCCTGAGGAATGACACTGAGGTTGACTGCTGGCCTCCACATGTGTGCACACACATACAGCAAACCACACATGCACAGCCCACATAAAACATGTCCCCCTGCACACACTTTCCTGTTTCCCACCATGGGGCAATGTGACTGGAAGGCCCAGGCCCATGACAGCGGAGCAATATGAACTCTAACCTCAGGATCATGATTCCTTTTTCTGGTGACTGAAAAGAGAAGACATAAAACCTACAGCATCCCCAGGGTATAGAATCAGCAGAGTGTGGGGGGAGGGGTGTGGAGGGAGAGAGAGAGAGAGAGAGAGAAAGAGAGGGAGGGAGGGAGAGAGAGGGAGGGAGAGAGAGGGAGGGAGAGAGAGGGGGGAGGGAGGGAGAGAGAGGGGGGGAAGGAGGGAGGGAGAGAGTGAGGGAGGGACAGAGGGAGGGAGGAAGGGAGGGAGCAACACAGAAGAGGAATGCTTAGCTGTTACACTTGAGTCAGGAGGCACTCAGCCCTTTGTGTGGATAGTCAAGTTTCCCAGAGGACATGCTGTTTGGAATCAGTGTGCTATCCTGCTGTCACTTCTAATGAATGATATAAATAAATGAGGAGAATCTCCTGGGCTGGGGTCACAGCCAAGAAAGAAAGAGACCAAGTCAGATTCTAGATTGGACATCAGGCCTGTGTCATCACTGTGCAAAAGTCTTTCCCAGCAGTGCTGACCAAGTGGCAACTTCTGTTGTCAAAAATCAAGTCTATCTTGAGGGTCCTCAACAACATGGTCATGAGAAGAAAGGAGGGGAAGACGGGCTGATTGAGTATACTCAAATGATGAATGCCAGAGATGGAGCCAAGCTTAAAAAAAAAAAAAGCTACAGAAGATTGCTTACAGCTCCTGCCCTGGCTTCCGTGTATGATGGATTGTAACCTATAAGATGAAATAACCTCTTGCTTTCCCAAATTGATTTTGGCAGTGCTTTATCACAGCAATGGAAGGTACCCAGTGGTCAAGAATCCTTCCTGCTGTCTCCATTTGTTGCACATTCTCCCCCACCCCCTGCCCTCACCTCTGCCAGTGTCTTCTTATTGCTGGCTTATGGGTAATACTCTTTTCACACAAAGTCCCGATTCTTCAGATTATTTGGAAGTTAGTCTCTAAAAAGGAAAGGAAAAAGAAAAAGAAAAAGGAAGGAAGGAAGGAAGGAAGGAAGGAAGGAAGGGAAGGAGGGAAGGAGGGAAGGAGGGAAGGAGGGAAGGAGGGAAGGAGGGAAGGAGGGAAGGAGGGAAGGAAGACCTGGCACTTTGCATTTTAATGAAGTGCTTTTGATTTTAGAAATTCTACAGACAACATAGTCTATTCCACAGGGTATATCCCCTCTGTCTGTAAGTATACGTTTACCTTGGACAGGAAGGATCGGCACTCCCTGACACTAGTATTTAGAACAGTTTGTGTGGTTGAATATGTCCATAAACTGTAAAATCTTGTTCAGGACCTGGGATATGGCTCAGTGTCAGACAAAAGTCATTCTTGCTGTGAAACCTACATTTAACCCCTGGAACCTACATATTAGATAAAACTGTCTCCCAAAACCTATCCTTTGACCTGCACACGTGGGCTGTGGCATGCATGTTCACCCCCAACCACCAAAATAAATCAAATGTAAAAAATAAAAATTCTTTCCCATGTATTACACCTAATTGCCTGTACTCACAGATACCCTAAGATAAAGATACACTTTATCAGGCTGGAGTGGTGGCTCAGCGCCTGAGAGCCTTGCTCTTGCAGGGGAGGTGGGTTTGATTCCAGCACTTGCATAGTGGCTCACAATCCTCCTTAGCTCCAGTTCTAGGGTATCCCATGCCCTCTTCTGACCTCCACAGGCACCAGGAACACACGTGGTGCAGATCCATGCACGCAGGCAAAGCATTCATGCACATAAATAAAAATAACATACATACATACATACATACATACATACATACATATATATCAAAAAATCTTAGATTGTAGATAATATATATATACATATATATGTATATATATATATATATGTTTAGAAATGTTTATTCAATTGTAAAATTTTATGAAAAAAGTTAAACTCATTTGCATCTTCAAAATCCAATGATGTCACTCAAGTTACCCTTTGCAGCCTAACATGTCACCGCTACCACCTCTGAGGGTTTTAAGATACATGACTGAATCAATGAACAAAGTTGCCTCTTGAAATTTAACTCAAGACAAAAGTCCTTTGCAGTAACATCAGGATTTTTAGTTTTTCTTGTTGTAGTATCTGTATGGTCTCTGCAGAGTAACCACTCAGTATACTGTTACTGTTAAGCTTCCTTGAAAAGCAACATAGGTGGGTAACATATATTAATTTTGTGTATGCCCTGGTAACTTTTCGAAGTGAACTGTCCTCTTACCGTCTGCTCCAGCTCCCACTCTGCTGGGTCATTATTGATGTAGAATATCTCATGGTGTATTCAGCTTTATTCGTCGTACTGCTGGCATCCAGTCCATCTCCATTGGGCGTCTGTGACTGTGCTGCTGTGACTATTCTTATATGGACTTTATACAGTCTATGTGGTCATATCTTTGAGTAGGCTTGTTATATGAGGACAAGGATGTTATCCAGTCTTAGCTGATAGCATCCTGTCCCCCTCAGCAATGGCAGGTCACACTTACCTCATCAACATGAGCATTTCTGATGTCCTCACCGCAGCCACTCAGGAGGGTGTGCAGTGGCACTCAATGGGGACATAGTTGCATTTTATGCTTAATGAAGCACATTTTTGTGATGTAGGCATTTTCATTTTTTTGCCTATTATAATACACTTGTGTGAGTCCGGTATCCTAGAGTCCTGTATCCTACTTTGTCAGACAAGCCTATTGCAAACATCCCATCTCCTTTGTGGCTTGGCTTTTTATTTTTGAATTGGGGTTGAACCTAGGGCCTCAGGCATGCTGGGCAGTACTTTATCACTGAGCTTCCTCCACGGCACTTTTCTCTCTCTCTCTCTCTCTCTCTCTCTCTCTCTCTCTCTCTCTCTCT